AAAGAATGCATACTTTGTTCTACTGGCAGAAACTTCAGTCTTCATAACACCACCGGCAGGGAATATGATAATAGTACCAGACGCCGACATTTAAACATCCACAAAGCCACTTGGACGTGACCTGAACGAATACCGACATTGCTACCCTGTTTTCTCAGAACACTATGGATCTAAATGCGGAGAGTTTTATTCTACCCTCCTCCTAATTCAGATTATTATGCGCGACGGTGCCTATTGGAGGGATTATAGGCGGATCCAAAGGTGGGATAGCATTGGCACGGGTCGACCTCCCCTTTTTTCTGACTACCCAAAGGTCTCGTCTCAGTAGGCGTCCAACAAACCAGATGTAAAATGAACAATAATAAATAAACACAACCACCTCGGAAATGGCATCGACGGTGCCGAGAGAGCTTGCCCGGCCCCACTATGAGTTTCGGTTTTCTGCAGGAACGGCTAAGCTCCCGTAGGAAAGTAATCCTCTAGGGAAACCAGCGGGACCAGGCCAGAGGGAACGTCGGCGGGCCGTCTCCTTAGATGCAGTTCCGGCACACCCTTGTAGCATATAGTGGCCGACCCGCAGTCCTTCACGCATAAGCAGACCACCAATCCTGTACAGTATGTAGCAGTTGGGTCATTTGTTTTTTCACGGTGGAATCCGCTCTAACTTAACCTAACCTCCCTATCTATGAACATCTGCCGTAACTTCACATAGGAAAGAGGTAGTAAAAAAATATCTGGGCCTCGATACGAACCGATAAGCGATTGCCGGGTCATACACGTAGAAGAATGGGAAAAATATAGGGTTTGCTTTAAAGCCTTAACCAAATTATGCCTAAATCTTAGCATGCTTACGGGGATAGAAATCCCCGGGACAGGTTGTAGACATAAACAAAATATGAATATACATTACACCTTGCCACCTTACAAGCAAACTAAAGAAGTTCGCCAAACACTCCTGAGTCTAAGGGTATGTTCACACAGAAAGCGGAGCCGAGCGGAGTGAAGCTTTCAAATTGCTGCAGCTATATGAAAGTGTTCATATAGCAAGTTTTTTCAGAAGCGTTTTGGAGCTGAAAGCAAAGCAGTTTTGATTTTGAGTTTTTTATGCAATTTTTCTTCTTTATGACACCGCTGCAAACAAAATATCAAAACATTCAAATAAGAACGGCAAGTTTTGTGGTATCTTTGTAGTCGAATCCATTCAAAAAGCTCCGCGCCACCTCGTTCAGTGTGAACACCTGGGCGTTCGCTACGCTTCGCCTTTCTTCGCTCGACACCGCTCGGCTTGCTGTGTGAACGCACCCTAAGGTATTTTCGCAAGCCAATTAAAAAAGAACATTTTTTTGTCGAACATTTTTCGGTGACATCTAATTTTTTTTTAAATAACTCTACTGATCTTGTGGGTAATTATTAGAATGGGGTACTTAAGGTCAATGAACTTTGACACAAAAAAATTGTATCCCCGAGACAAGAAAACAAATATGTCACACCTTAAGATCCGACTGTGAACGCCGAAGAGAGGAGTATGACGAAAAAATATAAAGGCCGAAATGGCGCTATAATTTGACCACATTGGGGTGGCACTTTAGGCTAATAAAAATTTAAATCCAAACACCACCATCAAACACCAAAATATTTTAGGCTCAGGCGTGTACGGCGAAATTTTTATCTGGTACGGTCTAATTTACATACATATGTATGTATGTAAGCAAAATAAAAAAAAATCCTTTAAGTTAGTTTAATTTCTTAATTAACGAATTTCACCGTAGCATTGCAAAATATAAATTTTCCACCGAACTAATTGCATTAAATTGCAACTTTCCTTTAATTTACGAAAATATCAACTGCATATCAAGTAAATAGCGTGGAGCCTGTTAAAGGCGAATATTAAAGCGATCTTGTGTCGCGACATCATTAACCTTTCAACATGCTGATACATACAAGAAGACAAGCAACACATCTAAAGGTGCGTACGTACTTAATTACATAAACATGCACATTTATCCACACATTAACTGCTGAAAAATTTCATTTCCGCCGTGCCTCATCACCGGAAATGTTGTCACAATTAAAAATGTACGCTAGTGGGCTGCCGACATATCGGCAATACCACAACGACATCCTCTCGGCAACACTTTCGCGTGATTTTCTGTGTACACACCGTTTCGCTCTTCGTCGCATGCTTTAACACCAAAAAAGCTGAAAATACATGTGTTAAAAAATAAGCGAATAAAGTTGTTCATTTTATCTTCGAAAATTCGCAATTTTTTGTTTTAAATGCACTTCATTCATTTCACTGGAAATCGCAGTAGGTTGCAAGGTGCAAGCAGTTAGCAGTGGATTGCAAAATGTCAGTGGCAGGAAGAAACAGCGGATGAAATGCAATCGAGATTTTAAATTAACGTAACACTGCTCAGGAAATTCTTTGATTTAAAAATACTTTTTTGATCTCTTAGTCACAGGATAAATGAGAACTGCGGCGCTGGCGTCACTTCTAGGATGAAAAGAATTCATTCTTTCGAAAGAATCTCAGTCCAGGAATTCTTGCAAAGATACCAGGCTTGGTTGACGAAGGTGATCTTATGTAGTTGCAAGATGCTAGTGAAAATGCCGCATCAAATAGACTGAAACGAAAGGCTCCCTGTCCCGATTCCAATTAGGTGCATTGATACAGAGGATGGATGATGGAACCAACGCTACCATATATGTAAACTGCCACCAATGTTTAAATTTCAGATGGGAAATTGCCCCATGGTTTTCCAGGTTGAAGATGAGCCAAAAATTTTTGGTAGAAACAAAACACTGTGTTTTCTCGGTACCCCTCAATTGTCGCGTGGGTTGGAATTGGCCTCAAGATGGCCCTTTACGGCACTTTTCCTCATACCAGCTCTTCCTGGATGGGTGGTATGTAGTAGCCAACCACTTCTTCCGCAACGGCAAGAAGAGATTGAGAAATATATTCCCACTCTCATTTATATCCGGTCGATGACAAGTTTCTTGTTTAAGCAGGATTCAGAGTAGATTGCAATAGTTCTCGCTCGTGGTTTGCGACTGTAGCTTTTCGACGCCGAGTTTTTGTCGCGCCTATCACAACGTTATCAATTTGGTTCTATGGATGTTTCGAAGCTGGTGCATGGTACTGCTTAATCTTTACGGATATTTTTATCTAATACTGCTGTTTCTTTAAGCAAAACTTTAATTTTAAATTAACAATTTTTTTTTGATGACAGCAATTTTTTTGTCCCAATGGTTCACTATCAAAATTGTATCAAAAAAATCAATCACAAATGGCGCACTTTGGGCAAACATTACTTCTATCTCAAAATCATGTATCTTCGTTTCTGATGCTTGAAGGTTGAAAGGGGTTGCTATCTGTTTGACAGTCAAATGACATTACAATATGGATGATAGACGACAACGGGATAAGAAAGTTTTATTTTGAAAATATTTTTGAAGATAGATGCCACCTGTTTAAATGGGCAAAGTATATTTAATTATCCCATTCAATTTGGCACAATTATTAGTTGTGCCCTCAAATAATGTCCTAGCCGTCTTTATAGAAATTTTTTGCTGAATAAAATAATGAAATGTTCTACATTCTCTCAATTTGACAAGAAATATCTTTCATTATTTGAAAGCTAGTATCACTGCCGATCCTTGTACCTCGCATCAAGATGGAAGTAATAACGTTTTGTAGAGAAAGAAATTTTTTAAATAATTTTCGAGATAAGTACTACGACTAATTGCTTTCGTGCAACCGATTGTTTTTACCTTCCTTTTATAAGCTCGGGATGTAACTATGTAATATAGATGCGCCTAAACGCCCGATGACAGTACGAATGGAAATTATAAAAGCGAGGTTTTAGTTTTTTAAGCTATAGTTTTTTTTTTTTTTCTTATTAAATGGCATCAATTGCGTGCCTACATAGCGTATGAGTAACATTATTTTCTATTTATATTTCATACAAATAAAACAAGGAATCGTTCAATTTAACAATCAATTACGAGAAATAAATTAGTCGCAGCCCAACTCCCATGACAAAGCTTCAAAGCGCAAAATTATCTCACTGTTTGCCTTTATTTTAGAATCGAACACGAAAAGGAAAAGGCGCAATCAAAAGGCGACATTATTTTGGTAGAAACGAAATCTCCATTAGATGCATTTTTTTCTACGAAAGTATATTTTTTTTTTTCAACTTGATACGATGAACCAAAATCGTCAGTAATATAAGCAGCGAAGCGTATTCGTTATGCCAATCTAGATTATAAACCGTCTATGTGCTATATTTTATTTAAATCTGTTCTCCCGTTTCAGCGTGAAAAAGTAACAAACATATTTTTTTTTTTCAAAAAAATATACTTTATTCGATACTTTTGAGGTTAAATTTCCATTGTTGCGATTTCTCTATATTTTTCTTATATATAGTATGAATGAACTTTTGGCTTCAAGCTCGAAAAATTTTAATTGCACTATCTTCTTTCTAACCGAATATCTGCGATTTTGAAAATAAGTAAGTGATTTTGCCCATAATGTGGCGATGAGGAAATCTGTACATATGCACTAAATATAAGATTGAATTTCTGGAAATTTGTTGAATTCTTCGCATAAGAAATTTCCACTGGTTTACGCCAAGTATTTACATCCACAAGTATCTATGTAGAATTAAGTGATTTTAAAAATGTTATATTTATGGTATATAGTATATATATGCAAATTTTTAATAAAATAATAAACTCACTAATCCAATCTTATTTATTTCTTTACAAACGCTCACTTGTTCGCTTGCCCAACGAAAACCAAAAAAATTGTATTTGAATTGCAAATTTCGTTGATGGCCTACACTTTGAATGAACGCGCTGATGTACGAACTGGGGATGTCAATGTGTAACTGACTACATGCAATGTTTCAATATAACAACATGCCATCAATACAACAACACCCCATCAATATACAACAACTACTATTAATGCTGCTACTCGTTGAATGCATCGAATGCAGCCAAACTGGATGGCGTGAAAACGTATATGCGTATGCGTCGTGTGCCCAATCATCTGCAGGTGAAAGTCATTAAATGGTTCGATTACCTGTGGCTGACCCAAAAGTGTTCCGACGAGGAGCGAGCTGTATCCTGTCTTCCTGATAAATTAAAGGTAAATATGGTCAAACACATGCGCGAATACAAATGCACCCATACATACATACATACATATGAACATACGCATGTATTTGTGTGTCATTTATAAGCAGCTATAAATAGCACCGAGCAAGCGCATGAAATTGCATTGCTTTCACTTCGAGTTTGCAGCCATTGCAATGGGAAATATTTATGATGTTGCGTATAATCAAATGCTGGTAAAAGGACATTGCACACACTTTCCATGCTCAAATGCTTGGTAGCTGCATATCTACATACATATATACCCTTACTACACGCACGACTTTGCTACATTTCGCATTTTATAAAATGAACGGCTTGAACTCAGTTGTTGGTTATTGGCCATTGGCCATTGGCTATTGGCTATTGCCGTTCGGAAATTCGAAATGTGGTATCATTTGGCAAATTCTTTTTTTTTTCTGTTTTTTTTTTATGCTCTGTTCGCCTACTGCTGACGTAATGAGCGATTTAATGCTCATGCATATACACATACCAACAAACACGCACAACATTTCAAGTCCACTTAGCTTAGCGTGTGTGTATGTTCATACATACGTACATATATATGCGCTCTCATTGCCAACCAAATTACTATCGCGTTTGAGTTGATTTACATTTGTAATTGTATTTTCGAAATTTCACATTTCCAGCATGACTTTCACATTTCAGTTCTTATCAGCATTTTTTAACTTTTTTTTTTTTACTCCATTTTCTCGCCCAGCCACTAATTCACTTATTCGTATACTTATTACATATTTGCAGGCTGAAATAGCAATTAACGTCCATTTAGATACACTTAAGCGAGTTGAAATTTTTCAAAATACCGAAGCGGGTTTCCTATGCGAATTGGTGCTACGTCTGCGGCCGGTACTCTTCTCACCCGGTGACTACATTTGTCGAAAGGGTAAGTACTGATTCACTTGTTTACTGGTATATAAATATGTATGTATATATGCATATAGACATATAAACTTAGATGCACGCATATGCAACTAATAAGTATATATACCCATTTGTAGTGTATGGGGATTTGCAGCCATATTGCTTTAAATGGTAATTGATAGTAAGCGCCAAAATTAAATTTCAGTTGTTAAATGAAATGGGCTGGGGCTTCTGGTATATTTTGTTGAAATTTAAAATGTTATTTTTGCTAACAAAACATAGATTTGCAGCTTTTGCGTGTTAGAAAGCATTAGATTCCGACTGAAGTTTAGCAGAGGACAACAACAAACTAGTTGTCCTGGTCGCATTTCCGTATTTTAAATTCGATATATTTTTTTAATGGTTTGGTTTAGATAATAATATATAATAAAAAAAAATTGCATATTGAACCAAACCTCTATATCCCCTTGTTATTTGACGCCCTGAGTGCGCATCCGAGGCCTGTTAGCTCTCTCCACGTCAGTTTCAAGGTCATTTCGAGGACAAATAGGGTAAAAATTCATTGAGTAAACCTGAAAATGCTTCTGAATTTGACCTTGACCTCTAGATGACCTTGAAGAATCAAGGGTGCCACATATTCGACTTAAGCAACAACAAAAAAGACAAAAAGAATGATTTTTATAGTTTTTATTGAATAAATCTTTTTCCTATTTGACCCTCAATTGACCTCGAACCTGACATTTTGGAGGTCAACGGAACTCAGATTTGTATGTATGGTAGGCCGATCTTCTTCTTAATTTTCCGCTAAACAGGTGGGCTGTGAAACCCAGAACCAGTGGGCTTCAGCACCGATATAAGACAAATACAGAGCTGCCCTGCACTCCGCCACTTTTCTTGAGGAAGCGCTGTGCCATAGGAGCGGTTTTATCTCAGCCCGACTGTTCACCTGATTATTCACTAGGTATTCACTAGGTTGGTGAATAGTAGCTCCGATGCTCTTCTTATGTCCAATACTTCCGGATGCAAAATGTTGCAGTAGTTCGGCAACTTATAGCATTTGTTGAGACCAAACCTCGCTTAGACGACGACCGCCCCTATTCCGTTCTCAATCTTCGACCCGTCTGTGTGAACAGATGCCAGCACTCTTCGTGCCCTCACGCTACCCTTTGACCTCTTTACTGGCTTCGAAGTTCGTCCCAAAGGGCGATCGGGGATCCTGTAGTTAATCCTTCCGGATAACTTTCGTGTTGTTGTTGTTGTAACAGCAAACAGATTCCCCAAAGAATTTTTGACGAGTGTTGCTGGAGTCACAGTCCTTGGCCAGATATAAATTTGGGTTGTTCCGGTTACTTAGACCCGACTGTTGTGACAACTGGGGTAAGTTTAATGCTATACTACTGTGGCCCTAGACCTGCACGAAAATTGTCCACGACAGCTTACTATCGAACTGTTTGATTTAATTAAGAAATCAAATAAATGTTCGCTGACTGCTGTATCCCCCATTCTAAATAAATTATATGTTTAGCTTCATTAAATTTGTATTACCTTTATTTTTGTTTTGTTCAAGAAGAGCTTTAAATCTATAGGCAAGTTTTGGAAATCTTTATATCTAAAAAAAAAGATTTTTTTTGCAGAAAATAAACGATTGAGTTTAGGTTTTCTCCCCTTCTGCTGTTTTAAAGAATGCCCCTTAATAAAGGAGTAGATGGGTACGGTAAGCAGTACAACCGGTAGATCTCTTGTGCCTTAGCTTATCACAACACTGAATCCAGCACCAGAGGCACTATGTATTTTAGAATATAGCGGCGGTGAAGGAAGTGTGTGTGCTCTTCTATTGGCCACATATGTCCTTAACACCCCTCCCTTCTTCGTGAAACGGGTTGGCGCTCAAGAAAAGGGGAGGCTTATAAGAAGCCGGTATCTCTTTGGATTGTACCCCACTAATAAGCTTTGGCTTGACAAAGTCCCGTGATGTTTCGCCATTGCAGTTCCTTCAGTTCATTGTTTTCTTCACGGGTGCCTCCTTTATTGTATTAGTACCCACCGCAAGGAAGGGCTCCGGCCCTAGCGGGGTCAAGGCAGCAACGGGCCAGGCTAGCTGATCAGCTTCTTCATTTCCTTCGACGCCTATATTTCCTGGTATCCATATGGTATTATGCCCAGTAAGGACATTAAGCTTCTCGATGCACTCCAAGATGCACTCACTTAGTATAAGTATCCTCTCCTTTCGATAATTCCTACGAAGGTTGATCTCTGCGCATAGACTGATAGCGGAAATAAAGGCGTAAATATTTATTCATACTTCCCAAATAGCTCTACAAATATCGACCAAGAAAAGCCAAATTCGCCATTTTTAATTTAGAATTGAACCGACAATTGTTCATGTTTATTTTTAAGACATTCATAAAAACCAAAACTAAAACTTAGCTATACAATTACGTCTAAAAGTTTCTTAAAAATTCAGAAAATTTCCAAATATTTAACCTTCCACTATGGACCAGGATACTAACTGGCCATCGAGCTTATGGTGAACAAGATTGAAAATGCTGCATGTGTGCATTTTGATAAAATTTGTTTGGTTCCTTACCGAGGAAGGCACCAAAAACTAAGTCTTTGTTCTTTTATTCTTAAAAATTAAATCTATAACTTTAAAAATTGTGTACAAAGTAGATTCCACTGATCAGGCAGGCGTGCTGAGAGAGACTCAATTGCCCCCGGGCAACATTTTTTCCTTATATATAGATCACTCCGCCTATCAAGAGGATAATAGGTAGTAAGAGTGACTGGTTCGTTAGAAATGATTCGGAAGCACATGAACATTTTTGGAACTAATGTGACCCTCGAAAACTTCCAAGTTCTCGGGATATACTATCGTCTACGGAGATTAAAGCTAGCTAGCGATGGGGGCTTAGATAGTTCGAGTAGTCAACTTTTCTCCAGTAGTTTAAAATAGAAAGCAGCGTAGTCCCCAGGCACAAGACCAGTAAATTCTCACGGTACAGCATTTGCTCGAAAATAAGCGTCGAGGAAAAGCTTCAGCGCTTCTTCTGCGCTTGTCGTCTGGTAGTTCAGCTCAACTCCTAAGTATCGTTAAGTTTCGGAAGGAAAAATTTCCATTCGCGGCAGTTCATTGCTGCCTTACGCGTTTCAGAAATTTTAACAACTACAAAAAGATATTTCTTCAATGCAAATATTTATTTATATAAAATAAATAGTATTAATTTAATCACGAATTATTGCTTATTTTTATCAAATTCTCAGTTTGCATATGCGTGTTTCTTTGATAGCTTCTGGAAGCGTATATTTCCTAACAAATATTTTCATTTCATCTATTCTAATCGCTGCTACCCTCCACAATGACAATGCCGCCTCGCCTAATCGCTATTTGTGGGTCCATCGCACGCTGTAACAACAAACTGTTTAACATTCGATTTGGTGTTTTTGTCGCAACCCTAATTGCGCTGCCAACTGTGAATTAACAACAACAATGCGCACAAAATGGGCGGAAATTGGAAAATTGTAAATTTACACGAAATTTTAACAACGCAACAATGCGAATATACGTACGCATACAACACCCATCCTCGCATGCATGGGAATACATACTTATGCGCACTAACGCTATGCTGGATTGACCGGCCAATCGACTACTCATCATCCTCACATGTTGGCTAATGAATTGCGCGCTGCATTTTGGTTACAAAATTCTGCTGCCAACCAACTGTCAAATAACACTCACTACTTTCGTGCTTGTATGCGGTTGTGTGCATGTTTGCTTCTTTAACAAAACAACAAATGAAAATGTCCTGCTTCACTCGACGATGACGACGACAACGCTAATGAACGGTCTGCTGTCTTTCCTCCGGCCTCTGTCTACTGCTGCCTCAATTGCTCATTTCCTATGTACGCGTGTGATTGGAAACAAATGGCACCACAACGGAAACGACACCACTCTCATACTAACAATAAATCACCCGCTTGAACATCTTAACCACACCATTGGGATTTTGCACGTTTCTCGATTGCTATGACACTTAATGCTACTATCTTTACTGCTCTTACGCACCTCATACACACTTGGCCGCCAACTATGAATGATCGCCACCCACTGGACCGACTCGCAAAACGAACAATCAACACTCGACGACCGCAAACCACTGAAATCAACACACAAAACCCGCTCACCCGCTCCCCTTCACTCTACTCTACTCTACTCTACTCTACTTGATCGGTGACAATTCGGCGTTACTGTAAACACTCGGTGTCCTTACCCAACCACCATCGCATGCCATCACTCTTATCGGCTGGCAACTACATTTGTGCTAATCAACCGCCGATACAGGTGAGGTTGGCAAGGAAATGTACATAGTGAATCGTGGCCGTCTGCAGGTGGTCGCCGACAATGGGAAGACGGTGATGGCTTCACTGAAGGCAGGTTCCTATTTTGGCGAGATTAGTATACTGAATATGGGCACAGCAGGTAAAGAACTTGGTAAATATCAGTTTTAGTGCGCCAGGCGGAACAATATACACGTAAATAAGAATGTTTTAAAAAATAAAAAATAGAAATAAAAAAATTTGAAATCCCTTTAGCAGTGGATGCTTACTACCCCTCGTAGAGGCATAAAAGCGAATAATAGAAGAAATGCCATAATACACCTATTAAGTTGTGTAACTGTTTTCTCCCCCGCCCTCTCCTACAAAAGTACATTTAACAACTTTGCACATACAGTACAACAAAAATATTCGCTTTCGTAAATTCATTGCACTTTATTTGAAAGAGAAGAAATTTAATTAGATGTGGTTGTTTGTGGCGATATTTGTATGCTTTTTAAATGTGTGTAAGTGTTCAAATTTTTCTTAACCGCTCTACTAGTTTCTTTTGGTTATTTCTTGATATTGTGTTACACGTAGCCCCATTCACAAGAACTCCAATTAAAATAATATGATTCACAACATACAGCCATAAAATTAAAAAAAAACGTATTTTGTTACTGAGAATATTTATGTATTTACGGGATGTTAATGCTCACACTTGAGCGACCTCTAAATATATTTTGATTTCGAAAAGAAACAGGGATATATTTATATCTAGAACAATTCTAGAAGTATTAAAATTCGGACTTAACTTTTTTCACATGTATTTTTAGACCACACTATTGTACATAAATATGTACACATAAGTCTGTGGTAAAATCAGATTGATAACTGTCACAATGCCCGTCAAACTTAAATGCCGGCGAGCCGTTGTAGAGGTTCGCGATTCAAAGCCTGGACCTTCTTTAAAAACTATATTTTTTATATAATATATTTTTAATAATTAAAATTTTACATTTGTTTATTTAAATTTTGATTTTTTATTAAGCATTTTTTTAATAAGAGTTTTTATTTTATTTTATATTTTAAATAAATTTTAAGTCATAAATTTGTTTTAAATTTTTTAATTTGCCATATTTCTTACTATGTCACATTTTAATTTGGCGACATATCTTGACACTTCTTTCTTCTCCATAACCTTGCCAATAGTAGAATTGTCAAAAATTCGACGAATGGGCTATTTAGCTTTTTACGTGCATATATTCGATATAGGTAAGGTTAGGATATCCGCCTTCATAAGTTCAGGCGTAGCAGTAAAATAACTATTTATGTTGCCATTAATGGGAGGAGCGGATGCAAGGGAATGCTTCGTTCTGTGGCGCAGATCAGATCTAGCGGACACCAACTTCCGGTATCAGAACTTAATTTTCTTGATTGGCCCTGTATCCACCTACGTGATTTTGGCCGAGTTTAAAAAAATCACACCAGTTATATCTCTTTTGTGTCAAGTCCTTCCATCCACACTTAGACGACACTAATAAAAAGCCGAGTTAACTATAATTCATATAAATTGAATCAAATAACAAATTTTCAAATTTTCAAATTTGAAAAATTCAATTTCAACGATTCAAAGAAAAAAGCCAAAGCTTCTGGTTGTTTTATTTAAATAAAAGGGATTTAGGTAAAAGAAAATCCTTAAAATGTACCACATTCGCCGTCGCTGAACCATCAGTTTATTGTTTTAATGGACAAACAGTAAGAAAAATACTGGCTTTCAATTTGTAGTACTTACCAGTCTCTTTCTGGTATGACGATCTCTTTCGGATGACTTAAATATTCGGCATCACTCGTGTTGTTACGACCACACCGTAGTTCAGTAAGACACTTCTTTCTGTATTTTTTCTGAGACTGTCTTTTTTCAATGGCTGTCGAAGGCACAAACTAACGGCCGGTTACTCAGTCTCTGGTTAAAACTAACTGCAGATTAAACCTCGTTATGGACTAGCTGTTACATGTTATCAAATCGATCACATCGATAAAGATTTTTAACATGCAGTTAGTGTTAACCAGATACTGAGTAACCGGTCCTAAATAAAGTAGCTGGTAGGTTCCTTAATTCAGTGAAAGCTTAAATCGGCTTAAGCTTACATTTGAATGCGTAATTCTTATCATTGAATTATACAGCCATTTTAGTAAGGTTAAATGTTTGCTCAAAAATAATTGCAGCTGTTTAAGCCATCCAGAGAGAACATGTCAATCCTGTATTAATCGTAAAATAACTGTAATTTAATTGCATTATAATTACAAGCGCAATGAGCAATGCCTCTACCAGTAGAATTGCAGAAAGTTTGTATGGATATGTGTACAGATGTATTGACAAGTTCACATGTGTATATTTTGACGAAAATGTGTTATATTCAGTGCGTATATGTGAATATTTGCTATATATAATCGATACTTACTTACATCAAAATATGCCAATAAATATATACTAGGTGCATTCTTTTGCAACCGAGACACAAAAGAACAGTCGGTAAAGTAGCGAAATACATGCAAAGCAATAACACAAACTCGGCTATTTATCCGAGTTCAGCCAGGTCGGTTAACAAATTCGCGACCTCAAGCGTAGTGTTGTTAAGTGAAACACTTTCTCTATTGTTTCATTGTTGGCGAAAAAATGCTTAGGGAAATTTTTGTTTCCTTGCAGATATGATGGAATTTTTAAATAAATTTAAATGTCATGCAAATACTTCGCAATATTACCCATTTTAGAACGGACTGCCATGGGAATGAGAATACACCATCCACTGAATAAGACCGACTAAACAAATATAGCTTACTATTGGCAGGCAATTCATCGGGAATCAATCAACACCTTCGTTAACTCTGTAGCTGTAGTTGCTTAGTGAGGCACGCGATACTTTAACAAAACTCCATTGTGGACATTGTAGCAGGTTGAACTGTTCAGTCCAATTGGAATAAGATGCCCGACGCCACTAACCACCTTTGCGTATGCCCATTCACAGCATCTCGTCTAATATCCCTCTCACTACGGCCCAAATCCATTGGAACTGGGCTTTTCTTGAGGCCACCGTTAGACGGGAATGAAGACAACATGTATTCGATACACTGTTTAAAATTTCTCATAAACGATGACAATAATTCTCATGAGAATAGGAATTCGCTCGCGTCCTTCCTTTCTTCATAGAGTAATTTATCTATACTCATTACTATTTGCTCATAGTCAGACCTTCGTAAGCTGTTAACACAAAAAACAGTGAAAGATTTTCGTTCGAATTTCCTTTTCTGTTTACCAGCATTCAGATATTTAATTAATAAAAATCTTCTAGTTCCCTTTGCAATAAAATAATTATATAGAATTTTTAGATTCTGGTATAAAAATGAACTAGTGGAAAACCTGGTTTATTCGATTGCAAAATAACCGCTTTACTGAGTATCTATTCGAAAAATTAAAATTCCCAAAAAAATTGGTTAAAACCGCTTTGGAAAAACCGAGTCAATCGCTCTAGTAAATATGTCTCTCAGCCTATAATTGTCATCGATGCTGTAACATCTTTTGAAGTTTGTTCACATTGCACGGACTACGCGTGAATACATAAATACATGTGTGTGTACATACGGGGTCGGGATTGCATTTGCACTTACAGACACATGCAGATGTAAATTTGCGTATCGTTTACTCCACATTTGCTTATTCTCTTACAACTCAGTAAACGCGCTCGTTATCAGTTTGCAATTAATGATAAATATGTAAAAATAATAACAGAAAGTAATCGAATTATAAATGAATAAATTCATTTTGTTTTAAAATGCCGCAATGCTTGATTTTCTTCTTCGTTTTAATCTTTTTTTTGTAGGAGTCATATGTATGTGTGTGTGTCACTATAGTTTACACTTATGTAAAAAGCATAGCAAAATTATTGCATTCCATACAAATCGTTTGAGAGCATTTTCATGCAGACCTTCACATAAAATACGTAATAAAGCTAATTTCATTGAATGCTTTCAATCAGCCATGATCCACTAGGATAATTACACTAGTGTACATCCATACATACATACATGTGTATATGTATGTACATAACTATGCAGCTGCACATTTGAAGCATTTACGCATTTACCTGCATATATCATAGCTGAGATGATTGGCTCATTATAGAAATGTAGGAATTATTGCGAATTAATTGGACTGATTTTTTTTTTTTTTTTGGTTAATAATCCATGTAAAAACTTTTACTTCCCTGCATTACATTTGTTATCATCACAAACGGACCATAAATGAATTAATTTAAGTTATAAGTATTGCTTAAAATTCACAAGGCTTTGAGGTGAAAGAGATTGACTGAAAGGAGCAACCAAATAAGGAATGTTATGGGGGTTATTCAATCACAAACTAAACTAAGTACATATTTCACGAAGCTATATAAAATAGACAACTTTCGAACTCCGTCCCACGATCACGGGACATTGGCTGCCTAGTGTATACTCACTTAGGAAACCCAAAAAAAGTAGAAAACTGTCTTACATTTGCTTTGCGAATGTCCGTCAGTGGTTAATTTTTCATGCAGACTCCTACGAAAATTCCCAAATGCGCTATTAATAACATTAGTATACAAGTCCAAGTGGTTTGAAGATACCAAGCAATCATAACAGCGATAATATCAGCATAGGTTGGAAGTTGCGTATAAAAATGGCGCTAACAACTTTAATTGAATCGTAGGTAAATTTTCAGGTAACGCTCTTACCTATTGTCCCTTATGACGCCCTCTGGTTGGCGACGATTGACAACAAATCCCACCTAATCAACTTGCAAAGGAAACAACGCTAGTCACCCTAACTGACGTTAGAGGACGGCTCATACTTCCATTCATGACAGGGTAGGGGTGGAGTACAGAAGTTGAGAGTTTGAGGTCACAGAAATATACATACATTACCCGCAACTTCGAGATACATATACAGCATAAAGTCAATTACTTCTGTGTACCGGAAATTAGGAACCAAAGTTAGAGGAATCGGGTCAAAGCATACAGACTTTTTTGGGATTCCTATTCTTCCGAATTGAAGAGGTAACAGCTATCAAAAGCAGCCAGACATAGCTGCACGTGTGCGCAGTACATTTAATGCACACTATTGTCACTACTCGATGAAGAACAA